CCTCCTCTGCTCTCTTGGACTGAAGGGGTCATCATTCTATGACCCCTTTAAACATTCAGCCCTCATATAGCGAGTCTGCACCCATAGGCTACAGTGGCATTTGGGTGGGTCGGTGTAATGGCGAACTACAAGACCCTTTACCCCACAGTGCCCCCTGGGCACTGAAAATGGCAGCAGGGCTCACCAATGGAATGGGTTAAATACAGAGTAAATTTTGTTGCGCTGTACCTGTGACAATGTCATGACAATAAAAAACACAGACTGGAAGTACTGGTGGGGGAAACACGTGCATTCAAATGTTTGCTGCATCTTCATCACACAGACAGAAAATCACAATTTTGGAAAAAACAAAATGAATCCCTAAATGGAAGGTCCTCTTTGAAATAGTTTTATTTCACTGGTTAGGTTTATTTTTAAGAAAATGGCGAATGTGTGATGTTCTGTTAACCTTCGCCTGAGAGCCACAGCCGGGCTGCATGCGGCTGTGTTGCCATAGGAACGAGTGCTTTCTCTTTCCGTTGGAGGGAAGAGGGCGATCCACTCATGTTTTTACCCCCTCGTACAATCCAGGCGCCTTCCAGAGCTTTGTGTGACTTTATTACAATGTTTAGTGGTTCGGGATTGAGTCAGAGTGGCCAATGATTGGCCATGTGACCTAATTTCAACCCTGATGCTCAGATCTACGAAGGGACTTGAACGCACCGTGAAATGACAAACAGAAAGTAAAACCGAACTTCTCGGGACTCTTTCACGAAACGAGCTGAGCTCTGGGTTTATGCTCCAGCTGTTACAGAAGATCCCTGCAGCGGGTCCGACCCAGGATGAGGTCAGTATCAGGCTGGTTCTGTTTGGGCCTCTTTTCTTCTCTCAGGTCTGTGAATAAACCTCCAGTCCGCATTAGAACCACAGACCGCAAAGGAGGAGCATCAGGTTCTTCTGATCAACTGTCTGTAGGTTCCGGTTCCCGCAGACGCATTAGGTTTTCGCATAAAAAACTCTCTGGTAATATTTGTGAAATGACTTTAACCTCGGAGCCATTGCTCTGAGTCTAGATCCAAGAATTCAGCAGGCCCTATGACGTCAGAGACGTTTCTTTCAGATGGAAGGCTCTGAAACAAACCCGTGGAGAAAGACCACCATCACAGACATCCCAAGTTCCAAAAACTCATTTCAGGGGGGGAACAACAACACACACACACACACCCCGGGGACAACGGACCCGCACCGTGCCCCATATATACACACATAAGGCCAGCAACTTTTCATCAACTGTTTATTAACAGTAATTTCTTAAACACTAAACAGAACAGTATTGGTATTTTATTTTTAATTCTTTCAATCTTGTAGTGTTGAACATCAGTTGTGCTTTCTGTTTTTTATGGGACTTCAGCAAACAATTGCACCTCGCCACGGTGTCGTCATTCCTCCACCATGGCCGGTTCTAGATGGGGGCCAACAGGGGCCAATGCTCCTGTAGATCATGTCCTGGCCCCTGTACTGAAGACATAATACTCAAAAGAAATTCTAATGATGATATGCGCTGGAACAGACATGGTTGCTGATGGGTCCTTTGGATCTATTTCATTCTTTTTCTTTACAAATTCAGTTTTACTAATTATTCAAAAACAGTAAGGTGATCGCTTCAATGGTATTGAGATAGGATCCCAGTTTTCATCTGCTAAATTTTTTTTAATAGAATAACATGCTCTAATTTTTACTCATCAATCCTTGAACAACTATCGATATCAGAGAGACTCCTGGAACTTCCGGGAGACTTGGGATGTCTGCATCATCCTCATCATTATTATCATCAGGGAGGGAAGATTTAAGGAAGGAGGGGGAAGTTATAATAATAATAATTATGTTACATTTTATCTTAATGGTCTCTCAGGACACCCGGCCACCGACCAACAACACAATCAAAATATATGCCGTCACAAAAGATACTGAAAACAGTGGAGGTCTGCAGTCTGGAAATGAGGATTCCATAGCCTTTATTTAGGAAGGAAGGAAGGAAGGAAGGAAGGAAGGAAGGAAGGAAGGAAGGAAGG